TATCCGAGCCGGGGGGCCAGCATGCAGACGTGGCTTCGAGGGAGAGAGATGGGCTGGGATATGTTTTTACCAGTTGGTTTTTGGTTTCTTGTGGGGTTTTTTTTGTATTGTTTGTTTTTTGTTTGTGGGTTTTTCTGTTTGTTTTTTTTTTTTTTAAATCTGGGCAGCCCTCACATCTGACCTTGTGTTTTCTTTCTTCCATCTCTCTGCACTCCAGAAATCTCAGTGTTTCTTTTTTTCCCCACCTCCAGAAATGCTGGCTTCTAGGGAGAAAGGAGGAAAAAACAAAACAAAACAAAACAAAAACCACCACACCAAAAAACCCAAACAACCACCCTATGAACAAATAAACAAACTACAGCCCCAGGTCAGGTTGAGCAGTAATCTCTGGGCTGAGCTGGGGAGTGTGTCGGAGGGAGGCGAGTTGCGCCAGGGTGTTGCACGGGTGCTCCCTGCCACCCTTCTGCACTGGGTGGGTCCGGTGATATTAGATCATTATGTGCATACCACAATAATAGTTAGTGTCTGTGTAAGAGCAGTTTCCCTCCCCCAAAATCATAATAAATTAAAAAAAGAAACCCCAAACCAGTGTGAGGATCTCTGCAGACTTCAGCTTCCGAGTGGTTCCCACGCAGGAGAAGGTCAGCGGAGATTTTGCAAGAGCCTGTGTCAGAAAGTGAAATCATTCAACATTATCAGGTTAAAAACAACCACTTCACTTCCCCGTGCTCTGATTTATGTTTGTTTTTTCCATTGCACGTGCTGTTTGCTGCTGGCAGGCTCCCACCGGGCGATGCTGGTGGTACCCGTGCGTGCCTGGCTTAGGGCTCTCCCAGGAGCAGCGATGCTGTGGCAGGAGAGACATCAGAGCTGCTGTAATGCAGGACCAAAGGGCTACCCCCTCATTGGGGGGGAACGAGTGGAATTTGATTGTCTTGAGACCAGAAGGAGTCAAGGATTGCAGCTGGGGAAAGAAGAGGTAGGAAGTTTTGGGGGGCATCATCATAACCCCTGTGCTGCCCCTGCAGCGGGGTGGCTCAGCTGCGATGGTCATGCCTGGCCATAAAAGCAGCGCAGGGGGCAGAGGAGGGATGCTCCTGTGATCCGCTCGGGCTTGGGCTGGTGTCTTCTCCCCTCAGAGCAGGTAAGGGGCTGATTTTCCAGCTGTATTTCCCCGTTGGACAGAAATCCTGCCTAGTTCTCCCGGGACAGTGGTCGGAAAATGGCAGGGAAGCGCCTTGCACCCGCTGTGCTGCCTTGCGTGGAGGCAGAAACCAGCCTGTTTGAGCCTCTGGGCTCCCCAAACCCGACCCCGTGGCTGCCCCACGTCTGATCCTGATACCCCCATCCTCAGCGCCGGGAAGGAAACCCCGGAGAAGACAGCGTTCCCTCCTGGGTGGCTCGTCAAGCCAGAGCCTGTTTGCAAAGGCACGGGGAGGACGGGACGAGCGGGATTCAACTCGTCCGCAGCCAGTTGTTGGCCAAAAGTGCTCAGTCAGCCTCTCCTGAGCCCTGGGGGGGCCCTGTAATTTGCTTTTGGCCCCGGCTCCAAAGCCTTGGCCAAGCCAAGGCGGTGCAGGTGGATTGCCGCTCTCCCCGGAGCAGTCAGGGTCCATCCGAAACCCAACCAACACCCGCAGGGTTTAGGGGTGGGTATAAATAGACACCAGATGGTGGAACAAGTGAATGTGACCTTTTAATCTGCACTAAATAGCTGTTTGTTCAGTTCGCTTCCCATCTTTGCTTTCCAGATGAGGGGAAGGCGGACGGATGTTTTCCGAGTCCCTCCGTTCCCGCTGCTGAAAGAGTTTCTTGGCTGGATGATGATGCGAGGGTTGGTGTCCCAGGGGACTTGTGCTAGGGACTGAGAGCTCCCAGGTAACAGCTACCGGGATGGAGAGAAACCTGTGACGGCTTAGAAAAGGATGTGGCAGGATTTGCTCCCCTGGAAATGATGGATGATCCCACGATGTGCCCCTCCAGCGTAGAGCATCCTTCTAGGTCTTCACGGGTGTAATTTTAGGAAGGCTTTGTGATATTTTTAGGAAGGTTCCAAATGGACTTTCCCCATGTCCCCTGGAGCCACCGTTCGTGGGGATCTCGCCTGGGTTTCTTGCCTTGGCGGTGACTTCTCCATGACATTTGTTGCATGCTCCGGGCTGGGATGTGAGTCATGTCGTGGAGATTTGGCCAGTCTAAATAAACCAGTCTATTCAGTGCTCCCATCATCCTTGCCGGGGCCTGCCCTTGGATAACAAGCCGGGGAGGGCTTGGGATACGTCTTACTGAAGCAAAACATCTGTTTACAGGGAGCTGCCAGCAAGGGGATAAAATGTGGCAGAATAATTTAAAATAGCCACAACTGCCTTGGGCGAGCAGCTCTCGGTGCAGCAAATAGGCCACGGCTTCTAGGGGAGGGCACTGTCTCCCTAAACATCTCCCTCGTTTGCTAAGAAAAAGGGATTTTGTGCATATCCCTGTCCCGGCAACATCGCGATGGATGAGCGCGCGGAGCCGGCTCCGCTCAGGAAACATGTATTTTGGGTGAAACTCAGCTGTTGGAGAGGGCTTCCACCGAGTCCTTCCAGTTCAATTAGATAGTGGCGCTGAAGCGAGACGCGGGGCGTAATTCGTCTGGGGAGGAGAGAAGCCACTTTCTCTTTCCCAATACTATATTGTGTAATAGCTGCATTTTTTTCTCCTGACTCCGGGGCCGTGAACGGGTGCCAAGCAGAAGAGGAATTTCGATGCTCCGATAAGATGTTTACATCAGCCTAAACATCGCTGGCGCGTTTGACATATTAAGTAATCTCTGGTCGTCCCAGTTGCCGGAGCAGGGGGTGCTGCTGGGCAAAGCCTCGGCCAGCAAAGCGCTGTGGCCCTGGTTTGTCGCCGAGGACGTTGGGTTCAAACCCTGCCGGCCGGCGCGGGCAGGAGTTTTACAGCGACGCGAGGGTGGTTTTAGCGTCAGCGAGAGGTTGTGCGTGAGGCGGTTCCTGCCCCGAGGCAGCGAGGGCAGGGTTAATGCTTTGGGAATATGCAAGAGCACTCGTGGTAGGGACTCGTGAGGTTTTCCTGAAGGGTTTCTGGGTGGAAAGGGTTCATGGCAGGTGGAGAAGGGGTTGCAGGGGTGGGCTTGTCCTTCCCGCCAGCGCAGGTTGTAAGGCATCATCATGTACAGAAAAGGCAGCACTGAGGCCATCACCCCAGGTTGCTGCCTGAGCCTGTCTGGATGAGGTAGGCTTCATAAATGAGGTTGATTTCTCCTTTCCTAACAAAAAAAAAAAACACCCAAACAAGAGAGCTCCGTGTCAGAGGTTTTACCCACGTGCCTCTCTTTCCCCACAGAACCACGTCCTGACCCTGATGTCCATGGCAGCTCGCATCTACAAGCACCCCAGCCTGAAGAACTCCATCAACCTGGTGGTGGTGAAGGTGCTGGTGGTGGACGAGGCGGCAGCGGGGCCGGAGGTGTCCGACAACGGCGGGCTCACCCTGCGCAACTTCTGTAGCTGGCAGCAAAGGTTCAACCCCCCGAGCGACCGGCACCCAGAGCACTACGACACTGCCATCCTGCTGACGAGACAGGTCTGAAGGGGATGCTTTTGGGGCAGGGGGAGAGGAAAGGGGTCGAGGTGTCCCTGGAGGGAGAGGAGGGATCGCCCCACCAGGCAAAGGATGGAGCTTGCAGCAAAGCAATGGGGAGGGGGAGGTTGCATTTGGGGTGCAGACCACCCGTGGGTTGCCCAGCTCTGCTTGGAGATTTCGGGGCTGCCGAACGTGGGACCCCTTCACCCTGCCTGACCGCTCCCCTCGGTGCTGCTCACAACCAGGACTTCTGCGGACACCAAAGCTGCGACACGCTGGGGGTGGCGGATATCGGCACCATGTGCGACCGCAACAAAAGCTGCTCGGTGATTGAGGACGAGGGCTTGCAGGCAGCCTACACCCTGGCTCATGAACTGGGTAATGCATCCCTTCCCAAGGGGGTTTCTGCTTTTTCAGCCCGCCGTGGCCAGCCCCGCCGCTGGGAGGGGGATGTCGCGCAGCGCAGCACCGGCATCTCCCGCCTGGGGAGCCTTGGGCAGCACTGGGGAACATCTGGCACCGGCAGAAGCTGGTTTGCACCAGCCAAGGTGCTTAGAAGTGCCCGATTTGGTGCAAATCAAAGCGTTTTGCTGCCGTGATGAGCTCAGGCGTGGGATTGAGCCCTTCCTCCCCCTCGGTTTGCCACTCCTGGAGACTAATTTGGGCTGCTCTGCCCTGCATGCAGCGGGCTGTACCACTGAGACAGGGCAAGCACGCACCGTTTCGTTTATCGCTTCTGCTTTATCGAAGCGGAGAGCTTTTGCAGCAGTAGGAACTGCTTGGTAACTTAAAAGATGCTCCCAGCTGCTCGTGCATCATCTGCAGCAGAGCAGGGCCGGCGCTGGGAGGCTGCGGCTCACCGATGCTCTCCGCTCCCCAGGCCACGTGCTCAGCATGCCCCACGACGACTCCAAGACCTGCGAGCGGCTCTTCGGGCCCCTCGGCAAGCACCATATGATGGCCCCTCTCTTCATCCACTTGAACAAGACCCAGCCCTGGTCTCCTTGCAGCGCCATGTACCTCACCGAGTTCCTGGACGGAGGGCATGGTAAGGAGCCTCATCATTCAAGACAGCCTTTTCCTTCATTGCTCAGGCTTTGCAGTGCTTGGAGGGATAGGTGGGGTGAAGGGGGTTTAAATCGCGCCCCACACGGTAGTTTGGGGTGCCCTGCTTGGTGCAACCCATGGCATCAAGCCTTGGTGCACCTCTGCCTTGCCCAGGCGACTGCTTGCTCGATGCCCCGGCCGACCCCCTCTCCCTGCCCGCCGAGCTGCCCGGCCAAGGAGCCCTCTACAGCCTGGACCAGCAATGCCAGCAGATCTTCGGCAAGGACTTCCAGCACTGCCCCAACACCACGGAGGAGGACATCTGCGCCCAGCTCTGGTGCAGGACCGGCAGCGGGGAGACCCTCTGCCACACCCAGAACGGCCGGGGGCCGACGGCACCCCCTGCAAAGCCGGCGGGCTGTGCTGGGACGGCCGCTGCGTGCCGCAGGATGCCCTGAAGCCCCAGGTAATGGTGGGGATTGGGGAGCCACGGGGTAGGGCTTCACCCTCTGGGATTCCCAAACCTCTGACCCTCGTCCTGCCATCTCCTGGTCTAGCTTTTGGATTTGCCTGATTTGTTTCCTGGCTGTCTCCCCTTCAACAGCACCTTTCGTTAATCTTTATTACTGGCAAGCCCAGCTCGTAGGTGAACGCTGCCATGCCTTTTGGCAAGGCACGGGCTGGTCTGAACCAGAGCAAGCAGCCGCAGTTCTGCAATTAAATCATCGCTTTTTGCCCTGCCTGGGGAATTAGCGGTGATTTCTGAGTCAGTCAGCAAAGTACTTAAACCCAAGCTTAACTTTAAGCACGTGAACAGACTGGTGGAAATCAGTAATAACGTCATGTGAAGTATGTGCTTAAGTGTTTTGCTGGATCAGGGCCCCGGCTGGCGACCCAGGGAGAAGAGCTGAGGGGAAATTTTAGCGTTGCTCCAGACCTCTGCTTGCCTTGGGAGCGAGCAGCTGGGGGTGGACGGGCTCGGGGACAGATCTAGCAGCTTCTCGTGGCCTCTTGCAGCCAGCAGTGGACGGCGGCTGGGGCCCGTGGAGCCCCTGGGGCTCCTGCTCGCGGACCTGCGGCGGCGGCGTGGAGTTCTCCTACCGCCACTGCGACAGCCCCAAGCCCCAGCACGGCGGCAGGTACTGCGAGGGCCAGCGTGCCAAGTACCAGTCCTGCCACACCGACGAGTGCCCGCCCGACGGTAAGCCCAGCTCTGCAACGCCACCTCTGCACGGCAAAAGGGTGCAATTCCCAAATGCGCGCTTACCTCCCGCCCCCGTTTCTCCAAAACCCGTCACGAGGGGTTGCTCCGTTCTCCCTTGAATATTCATTTTCGGGTGGGGGGGCAATCGCTTTCTGCTGGGGGTTGTGATCCCCTCCGGCTGGGTGTGTCGCATCCCTCCTCTGCTTGCGTGCTCCTCCTGTCCTCTGCTCTCTCCTGCATCTCCACGACGGTCGAGGAGGATGACGGTTCCTGGCAGCTTCCCCTGGCTTTTGGGTCACGTTTCACCTTTTCTTTCAGGGAAAAGCTTTCGGGAGCAGCAGTGCGAGAAGTACAACAGCTACAACCTCACGGATCTGGAAGGGAATCGCCTGGAGTGGGTTCCCAAGTACGCGGGAGTGTCACCCCGAGACCGATGCAAGCTCTTCTGCCGAGCCAGAGGGAGGAGCGAATTTAAAGTCTTTGAGGCCAAGGTAAGATACCTGATGATGACTATCACCCCTATTCACCCCATTTCAGATCAAATGCCCTAATTGCTCCCCTGCACCCGCCCTTTCTTAGGTGATCGATGGGACGCTGTGCGGACCGGAGACCCTCTCCATCTGCGTCCACGGGCAGTGCATCAAGGCTGGCTGCGATCACGTAGTCGGGTCCTCCAAGAAGCTGGACAAGTGCGGGGTGTGCGGTGGCAACGGCTCGACCTGCAGGAAAATCTCCGGCTCGCTCAACCGATCCAAGTAAGGGCAGACGGGGTCTGCAGAGGTGGGCTGGGGGGGGGGCGAGAGAAAACAGCTTCCCATCTCATTCTCCTTTTTTTATTGCACAAGTGCTAGACTAGGAACGTTAGGACTCTTCCTAGGTCACGTAAAGCCAGTTTGCTTTCTGCACCTGAAGCACAGCACTCAGCTGCAGACCTTACTTGCACCAGCCAGATACGGGGAGTGCTCGGCTTCCCCTCCGTGCCGTTAACTGGCGCTTGCAGCCGAGCAAACACCCTCAGCTGGGTGGCCTTGCAACAGCTTGGTCTCCTCCCCAGACTCCAGGGCTTACGCTAAGTTTATTTCAGGGCAGCCTTATGCAAGCCAAGCAGAGTTTATTTCCTAAAATAATAGCTGGTGCTGACACCGGCGATGGGCTGAGTACGCCGCTGCAAGTCAATCTGCTGCCACGAGGAGTTCGCAATACGCATCTCGCCCCAATGCAGTGAGCTGGACGTGTAGTTTGAGGGCTGATGTGGGCTATAAATAGTTCAACGACTTTTCTCTGGGCTCGGGGTTGAAGTTCAGTCCTGGCACATGGGCACCAAGGCAGCCGTTTCCCTCGCCCGAATCTCCGTTGCTTTGCCAAATTGCTGAATTTAAGGCTTTTGTTGAAAAGATCGTAACAAAAGCTCGACGCGTCCAATTCCATGCGGCGAGGTGACTCACGCAGTCAAATTGGATTTCCTAAATGGTTTCCTTCCAGGAAGCCAGCTGAAATGGGGCTTCCACTCTCCTATGAATTGTTTGTGGTTGACTTAAAGGGAGATTAGCATGATAGCTACAGCCAAGAAGAGATCCCATTAAGATCAGGGTTAGGGAGGCCAGGGTGACTGAGAGCGGAGTTTGACCCGAAGGCTTTGTTCCAAAAGACTCTAAACCTCATTACTGACTGCAGCATCAACCGTGGGGATGCAGGGAAAACGATCCTGCTGGCCCCGTGGCCTGAGTCACACCACGGTGGCCTTTCATTATAGTAGCAAGTAATTACCGTAGCACTGGGTGCTGAGGGCTCGAGCACCGAGGCCTTCCCGGGAGCCGTGGTGCTCCGGGGCTGGTCTCCGGCTGGCTTTGTGGGGAAATCCTCCTGCGGCGTGCGAACGTGCTCTGGGAGCTCTTCTGCATCACGGTGGTGGCTTGTAAAACCCTTCCAAAGATGAGCCCAGGGCGCAGAGACGTCCGCCCATGCATAGGGATGGTTTTGGTGCTGTAGTGCTTGCTGTCTTCTAGGAAAGGCTTTCGAGCTGGTATCAAGTCATCTACAATATGAGATGCCTGTCGGTTTAACTGTTTAACTGCTGATCTGGTTTTGGCAGCAATGGCTGGCCGATGTGCACATCCTCTCTGCGTACAATGCCAGCAGCACCCCGACTCTCCCCTATTCTGCTTTTCCACACCTGTATCTGTCCGTAGCTGGTGCTAACCTTCAGCATCACCGGGCAGAGCCAGACTTTTAGTCCCAAACGCTTCACCCATTGCCAAAGAAAGGGGGTAAGGGGAATTTCCCACCAAGGCTGGTAACTGTGGGGCTGTTTGCTTGATTGCATCACTCATTTTTGCATGTAATTCAGCAAAACCTTCCAGCTGAGCACACATCTGGCACGACTGCAGTATTTCCAGCTCCTAGGCACTCTGGGTTGCAGAGGAAGGGCTTCAGAGGCATGATTCCACTCGCCAGGCGCTGTATCCCCTGCAGGGGTCTCCTTTTAGTAAGTCCAGGAAAATAACCACGTCCCTTTGCCCCGTGCAGATACGGCTACAACGACATCGTCACCATCCCCGCCGGGGCAACCAACATCGACATCAAACAGCGCAGACACCGAGGGGTCCGTCACGACGGGAATTACCTGGCCTTGA